ATTTAATATTCATGCACAACTTTAATTGCCTTCAACATTGCTTCTCCAACCTTCATCTTCACACAACACACAAATAAAACAAAGTTCATGATCTTCAACCGTTAGCTTACCACAATCAACTGTCCATCCTAGTATTGTTTCCCTGGATGGTACATAACGACAACATGTCAGTTCTTATAAGTATCTGGGTATCTGGCTTGGCAGCACACTTTCATTTGACATTCACATGAATTCATTACTTTCTAAAGTCAAGTCAAGAATTTGGTTTTTATAGCGCAACAGGCCATAATTTACTCATTCTGGAAAGCAAACTTTGGTCAAAGTGATAATCCTTCCCATCTTAGATTACGGTGACATCATTTATAGGACTGCTTCCAAAAAACGTCTTCATAAAGTCGATGTCATCTATCACTCAGAAATCCATTTCATCACTGGTGCCCCTTACACTACTCACTGTCATCTGTACTCACTCGTTAACTGGCCATCACTCCATTCCCACAGGATATTGGTATCAGTTCATAAACAAAATAATCATCGGTAGAACCCTGTCATATCTTCGCTCATTACTCATCACTTCCAACAACCAGCGCAATTTATGTTCGAGTAATTTAATCTCTATGGTTATTCCCAAAGTCCGCACCTCCTTTGGTTGCTCCTCATTCCGGTTTGCTGCTTCCAATGACTGGAATGAGCTGCAAACATCACTGAAGCTCACTACCTACATTTTAATATCTACCTTCAATAATTCATTGCAATCAATAGTTTCTTATGCATTTGCCTGCTTCTGATTACTTAAAGATGGTTTAAAGTCTGTTTTGATTGCTTATATTGTAAATGAGAACAGACTGTTGTCTTTATGTCTATTTGTTTAATCGTGTATGTTTTTTATCTTACCTGTTTTTCATTGGTGTAAAGCTAAATGTGTGTCTGTTGCTACTGCCTCTTGGCCAGATCGTCGTTGTAAATGAGCATGAGTTCTCAATCAACTCATCTGGATAAATAAAGGTTAAATAAAATAACAATGTTGCACATCTTTGTGTGTCGTAAAGTGATTTACATATTTATTCTGTGACTACATTAACGCTTTTTGTGGGTGCTGGATATTTTTGGAACATTTCCACAAAACAATCAATATCCCACAGATTACATCTATAATTCTGGACTTTTATGTGACGTGCAAACTAGGTTTTGGACATCCAACAGTGACCCAAGTTGGACATCAATATGTTGTTAAATGTTTACATTTTAAATACATCTTTTGCCCATATTTATTTTTTGTAAAAGCAGTAAATTATAGCATTTACATTTATAGGTGCACTACAATTTCCATCCTTGTTTCCTAAGCATTGCTATTTCTGCTTTGAGGTGTTTGTGAGGCTCGCAGCATGAACCAGTTGAAAGGAAAATCAGTGTGCAGATGATGTGATTTACTTCCCAATAAAATGACAACAGCTGATTTGTACTCATTTGTGTTTTTCACGTTTATATTTGATGAGCACTTTGACTTTGAGTGGAATTTGTGATGATGGTAAACTCCCTTTGATGCATGGATCAAAGCGCCAACACTTCAATGGCAGTCAGAAAACAACTATTGAAGTTCAGGTCAAGTATTCATGGGCAAAAACTTTCATCCCTACAAACATCAATTGGACGGAAAGAAGAATTTAATTTTGACCCTGTTTTATAACCCAGTTAGTTCCAGGAATCTGCTGTCAGACCGACGGCCCCAGTTTCACTCTAGAATCATTTTCCTTCCAGGAGAGTTTACGGTCAACTCATTTGGTCTTGTGGTTTCAGAGCAAGCCCAAAACATCAGCCTTCCAGCACCGTGCTGACGGTGGCTACATTGTATGTGGTTTTCATCTAATATGGCACAATGCATGATGGGTAACCATGTCTACGTCCATCTGTCTAACTCACATCCTTCCAAAAGCCTTGTAATTCATTGAAATGCTGCTTTGATCAAGTTTGCGGACGACACCACCCTCATCGGGCTCATCTCTGACGGTGATGAGTCCGCCTACAGGAGGGAGGCTGAACGGCTGGTGTACTGGTGCAGCAGCAACAACCTGGAGCTCAATGCTCAGAAGACAGTGGAGATGATTGTTGACTTCAGGAAAATCACAGCCCCATCTCTCCCCCTCGTCCTGACTGACTTCCCCGTCACCACTGTGGACTCCTTCCGCTTCCTCGGAACCACCATCACACATGATCTTAGGTGGGAGCCATCCATCAGCTCCCTGATCAAAAAGGCCCAGCAGAGGATGTACTTTCTGCAGCAGTTGAAAAAGGCCAAGCTGCCGGCCCAGATGATGGTGCAGTTTTACACCGCCATCATTGAGTCCATCCTCACCTCCTCCATTGCTGTGTGGTACGCTGGAGCCACAGTGAGGGACAAACATAGACTGCAGCGCATTGTGCGCTCTGCTGAGAAGGTGATTGGCTGCAGCCTGCCATCTCTCCTGGACCTGTACGTCTCCAGGACTCGGGGGCGTGCAGGTCGGATAGCAGCTGACCCTTCACACCCGGGTCACAGACTTTTTGAGCCGCTTCCCTCAGGCAGGAGGTTACGGTCCATCCGGACCAGAACCTCCTGCCATAAGAACAGCTTCTTTCCATCTGCCGTTAGACTTGTGAATAGCTTATAAACACACAACCATGCTGGTCTTCTGTACTCTGGTTTCTACTGCAGATCTGGAAAAAATCATCCATGTCTTTGTGTCATCACGCTTAGACTACTGTAACGCTCTTTTTACTGGTCTCAGAAAAACCTCCCTCTCATGCCTTCAAGCCATCCAAAATGAAGCAGCCAGACTCCTAACCAAATCCAGGAGACGAGCTCACATCACTCCAGTTTTACAGTCCCTCCACTGGCTCCCGGTAGAATATAGAATTCAGTTTAAAGTTTTAGTCCTGACCTATAGAGCTCTTAACAACCAGGCTCCAAGCTACCTATCTGAGCTTTTATCCCCACACACCACCTCTCGGAACCTTGGATCCACATCTGAAAACCTCCTGGCTGTTCCTCGAACCAGACTGAAAACCAAAGGGGACAGGGCCTTTCAGACTATTGCACCCAGACTTTGGAACAGTCTACCTTCAAATCTCCGTCTCTCTAACACTGTAGAGATATTTAAAAATCATCTAAAAACTCACCTTTTCATCCAGGCGTTCCCTCCCTAAATGTTTCTAAAAGATAGCTTTGTTCGGGTTCACACCTTCACTTTGTTTATACTCATGATTTAATTTACTATTTTATCACTTCTATTGTTTTTCTGATGTTTTTATTGGTTAGTGGTATTTGCCCTGATCTTTACCATGTTGTACAGCGCTTTGTGATTTATATCTGTGAAAGGCGCTGTATAAATAAACTTTTACTTACTTACTTACTCGACACAGCATCACGTTATCGGCCATGTTACCATTACCTGCCATTTTTTATCGCTGAAATATTTATTATATTTTATTCTATTTTTAATCTTATTATTCATGTTATATGTAGCACATTAGTACCAAAGCAAGTTCCTAGTTTGTGAATTGTTTGTTCACTGACAATGGCAATAAACCTAATCTGATTCTGATTCTGATTCTTTAAAAATAAGTCATGATGTCCTAATCTCTTCAGAGAGAAGAGTCTTCCCTTCTACAAGCCTTACAAATAAGTCTCTTATTATAGTCTTTTCCTAACTAAATTATAATAAACTTTAACCTTTGACCTGCTAACTGACTTTTACGGAGTCTCGAATGGGACATTCAGGTTTTGCACTGTTTGATATTATAGAAAACCGACTGGAACATCCACTCCTGGGAAGATTGTCGCCTGTTCCAAATTTTTCCTTGGCGGGTTTGAAAATAACCTCTAACCCTTCCCAGTGTGCGCATGCGTGCTCATGTCTGTATTTGTTTGCATACAGGTGTCAGACTTTTATGTTTCCATTACTTGCTCCGAAGTGACTAGTAAAGCTTCAGGACTTGTACTCTCTCTTGTTTTTATGCATCGTTTCTTCCTCCAATAAAAAGGATTGTTTTGAACTTGTATGTCACTGCAAAAGCTCAGCAGCTCTGCATGAAGTCTGTCTTACTTTACCAGGCAAATAGGGCATTAGGTTTGAAGAGCAGAGCTTCACAGCCCCACTGAAACAGATGATCTCCTTAGCAGTGAGAAGCTGGTGTAGTTGGCCACTGCCAGCGCTTATTAATGACATCACATTCAGGCTGTGTTAAAACTTTAAAACCATCCGTCCCCACAGACACAAATGTGCAAACAGAAACATCTAACATGCATTCACCACTAAATCCATGACTGCCCCCCAAAACATGTCATTAAGCACACTTTTGTAGCATAATTATCTGCGTGTACGCACTTAAGCCACGGAGCACTGAGAAACGATATGAACTCACACCACATCAGCATTTAATTGGAAACCAGCAGTTAGGGAAGCCAGAGGGTTTTTAAATGAGTTATCTGGCAAAACTTCAGGGAGTGCTGGACTCATGGGGTGACAACATGGCACTGCAAAAAAAATGAAATAAATAATAAATAAATAAATAAATAAATAAATAAACTGAAACTGACCCTCAACAAACACGGAGCTGTTACACTAACTAGAGATTGAGATGTTGAGGTAGATATTCATTATTCTTAATTCCCAACCCCCTTTCCACCAAACAAAGATCAGGAAATTCATATTAAAATCAGAAATGTTTCATTTCGTTCTGTAGTTTCTGTAATATGAGTTTTATTTATTAAATGAAATTAAATTAGTCAAGGTTGATTTTTAAATTAAAAATTCTTTCACTTCACATTTACAACCGGATCACCACTCTGCTGACGACCCAATCCCTCATTCAATGTGTGTGTGTGTGTGTGTGTGTGTGTGTGTGTGTGTGTGTGTGACTGACCAAGCGTTTATAGAAACACCAAGATAAATAAGACATCCTCCTGCAGATGAGGAGTTGCAGAGTTACACAACTGAGAGGACAGACAACACACAGCTCACCTGCAGCACTCAGTCCTTCAGGGCTGGCGCTCAGCTCCTTCATATCAACCACGCAGAGTCCCAAGTGCCGGGTGCCGTCCTCCATCTGCCCAGCTTGCCCCTCACTTCTCCCCCCTGCTCTTCCACCTCTCCCACGAAAAACCACGGTCCAGTCCAGTTCCCCGGCTTCACACACAACCTGCCAGGCAGAAAAGCTGTCACAGCGATGGCAATCCGTTCGCCTCTCTTCCTTTCTGCCTCACAACATGCTCTCTGTCAGCTTTAAAGATGCCTTTTGGAAACTAAGGAGCCAGAGGAGGGAGCGGCAGCCAGCAGCAGCAGTTGTAGGGGAGAGAAAGAGAGGGTGAGAGAGGTGAGAAAGAGAAAGGAGAGGGAGGAGTGATGAGGGCGTGAAGCTCAGACTGAAAGAGAAAGCAGGACAGAATTGATGTTATGTGCAATGCCCGGTCCTATCCATCAATCTTGGGCTGACAGTAGTGCACCTGGAGCAGAGCTGCACAGCACAGCACAGTCAGAAAGACACAATCCTGCCCCTCCATCTCCACCTAGCCCTCACTTTCTTCTCTCTCCTCGCTGCGCAGCCACCGTTGCATCCAGACATGGCAGCAGGGGTCCCTCTGATTTGTGACGTTCATCTTCAGCAGCATGCTCTCGCCACTCCACTACCTTTCCTTTTTTCTTTCTTTCCTGGGAGCAAAACAAATAACAAGCATTCAACTGCTGAGCTCCATGCAGTGAAAGCAATGTCGTGTAGCATGTTATTTTCAAAGTTACACACTAAAAACTGCAACTTTCCCACAGCTACAAATCAACAGGTTGAACATAGCAGTAATGTGAGCTCTTACTCAGACAAACGCATGATCAATCTCCTTCAGAGGGTAATGAGACGTCAGCAAATATTTGCTTTAATCAGCAGTTAAAGAGCAGGTTTACAGGATGAATCAAGCAGCTATTCTTATATTTTCTTTCGTCATGGCCACCGCGTCACCTCCCACTCATAATGAGAAGGTTATGTGTGCAGCCGCTCCATCTTTGATGCTACACTGAGAAAAATCAATGGTGATTTATTCCAAACTGAGAGATCCTGCAGTTTCTAGTGAAGCTGAAAAATAGGCAGCAGCCCGTAACAATAAAAGACCTGTTGCATCACTGAGGTGTCTAACATGAAACATTAATAAATAAAGTCAATAAAAGCTTTTGACAGGTGAAAAGCTCTTGAAAACTTTAAAGGGAGAAGCAGCATTTTGTGCTACAATTCTGGACCATTTTCCTTTTAGCTGTTAGCTCTTTAGACATTTTTCATTCACAACAAAATATAATTTTATAGTCAACCTGATTAACGATGGCCACCAAACCTAATTGGTAAATGGCCTGCATTTGTGTGGCACATTCATAGGATTCTTCAACCCGTCAAGGCGCTCCATAACACGATTAATCATCCATCCATACACACACACACACACACACACACACACACACACACACACACACACACACACGTGCACGCACACACACACACACGTGCGCGCACACACACATACACACACACACACACACACACATTCACAAATGAGCTACACTGTAGCCACAGCTGACCACCAACAGCAGGAAAAGTGAGTTAAGTGTCTTGCCAAAGGACATAACAGCAGCATTCTCTGGTGGGAGCCAGGATCAAACCTGCAACCTTCTGATTACTGGACAACCCACTCAACCTTCTAAGCTACTGTTTAATATACATTGAGTGGCGAAGACCAGGGGTGTCAAACTCAGTTTTGCTCAGGGGCCACATTGAGGAAAATCTAGTCCCAAATGGGCCAGACTAGTAAAATTAAAGTATGCATAAATTAAAAACTGCTTCAGATTGTTTTATTTGTTTTAATACGATCAACATAAAACAAAGCTGGAGCCTGAGGACAGTGTATCCAAAACAGTTTAAGCACAACTTCACTATTAATAATAAAACACCTGAAGTGCATTTGAAAATGTGAAATACAAAACAAAAAACCCAGACTATTCCTCAGCGATTCAAATAACTCAGGGGTGTCAAACATGCGGCCTGCGGGCCGAAACCGGCCCGCAAGCGGGTTAAATCCGGCCCACGAGATGGTTGTGTAAACTTTATTTTCATACTTTACAATGTAGAGTTAAAGTAAACTTATCTTTGTGAGCAAGTTTTCTCTGTAATGAGTATAAATAAAACAAAGCTGTGCCCAAGGCTCCCACAAGAACTTGAATCACATCCTGAAGTTGGCCGCCACTCAGGATGTGACTTCTGATATTGATGTGCTGGTGAAAGCTAAAAGATGTAAAGTAAAATGAGTCAAATATACTTTAAGTGCTGCATGAAACTGATCTAGCCATGTGATCTGTAAGCTCTGAATCACTAAGGAATGTTTTTTTTATTGATTTATTAATTTTTATTTATTTCAAATTTTCAAGTACACTTCAGGTGTTGTACTTGTACTATTTTGAATAGACTGTCCTCAGGCTCCAGCCTTGTTTTATATTGATTGTATTAAAACAAAGAAAACAATCTGAAGTTGTTTTTAATTTACCGGTCCGGCCCACTTGGGACTGGATTTCACCTCAATGTGGCCCCTGAGCTAAAATGAGTTTGACACCCCTGAAATAACTGATTCACAGATCACATGGCTATATGAGTTTCATGCATGTCTTTGACTCCTGATACCTGACATCTTTCAGCTTTCAGCAGTAGTTTAACTGAAAAATGAAAGCTTATTTTCAGACTTTACATTGTAAAGTCTGAAAATAAGGTCTACACAATCATCTCGCGGGCCGGATTTAAACTGTGTGCGGGCCTGATCCGGCCCGCGGGCCGCATGTTTGGCACACCTGGCTAAGGCTCAGTCAGTTTTACAGAAAATTAGCTTGTTGTGGTGCACTGGGGAGAGCATGTCTGCAGGGTATGATGGAGTGGGCGAAGCAATGATAGCGTGCCATGGCACAGCTTAATGGGCTCGACACACGGAAGGTGACAAATGACCGCGATCAGCGAAATTCGTCGTTGTTGCTGTTATTACCTGACACACGGGAGGCGTCCCGCGGCAGCGGCAAAGCTGTCTACGCGTTCTGTTCCATGGCGAAATTGAAACTTCCGTTGTTTTGATTGGCTGTCTCAGGTTGGAGGTAATTAAGGTTATTTAAGCGGTTCAGAGTTAAAAAAGTGGTAGATATGATGTTTCACAAGGTGCTGCTAGCAGAGCCGGATTAACGCAAAGGCAAAGTAGACACGTGTCTAGGGCCTGATTGGCTGGATGAGGCCCAGACAGAGGGACAAAATTAAAAATAAATTAATTAAAAATAAAATGTACAAATGTTCTATGATAGAATTTGTAAATAGGACTCCTATCTACAGTTTATTTCAACATTTATTAATTAACTAAAAATAGTGACAATGTTTATCTTAACCATAGACATTAGCTACGTCACATTAACGCCAGCCCATGGCTGTAGCTTACAACTTGGGCGCCACCCAATTAAGGACGTCAGAGAAGCGGTCAGAGTCAGAGCGGGACAAAACAAAGCTAGCAGGTGTTTTTGAGTAGGCTAACTTTCATGATGCTTTCGGGTGCGGCAAAACGTAAAAAGAAAAAAAAATGAATAGGAACAATAGAAGAGACAGCGGGCGGCCTTAGAGAAGTTTCTGTCGGGCTGCTCGGGCAGCTGTCCGACAGTTGTGAACCTGCTCGAGTCAGCAGAGCCAGAGGCCGGGCCAGAGCCAGACCCGGAGGAGACACGGCCCGAAGACGCGGTGGAAGATGCGGCGGGAAATGTGGCAGAAGATGCTGTAGCGCCAACGCCGTCAACATCAACGCCATCACAGAAGGACGAACTGGAAGCCAGCCAGCCAGAAGTGAGCCCAATATAGTCTCACAGCAGGAGCCTCTAGACCCAGAAAGGGTGTTAACAACTAGCTACCCATCTGATCCTGCAAAGTGGTACCAAACTGATGACAGGATGCATGAGAACTTTGCACTAAACCATCCATCTCAAAATATTGGATATTTCTCTGCATCACAGAGGAAGTATGGAGACATAACCCAAAGCTTAACCAAGAAACATTTCTTTAGACGTGTTTCTGCAGTGACTGAGGCCCTGTGATGCTGGAAGGCTGAAGATTATTCCAGAGTGGAGCATGCTAAATGGTTTCCTTGGTAAGTGTTGCTGGTTTTATTCTTTTTTTTTTTCAAATATTTTTATTAATGTTCAAATAGCATAACAAACAATAAGTTCACACTCAGAAAATTGACACAGAATTTCTGATTCAGCAGAGGCAACAACAGCCTGAATGAGCATGAAGCAAGATCAAAACTTAAGATAATATTTTCATTTTATTGAAATACTTTTTTTTAAGATTATAGATTGTATTAAATTTATACTGTAATAATTTAAGCTGCGTGTTTATAGTTTGTTTTTGCTCCTTTAAACATGCTTCAGTCCATTCAGATTCATCTATTTCTTCTTGAATGTCTTTCCACTATCATGCAATTAATGTTGTAAGCTATTGTATTTAGCAGAAAATCTTTTTAATTAAATGTGTTTCTTAAATGTAAACAGAGCAAATAAGGTAAACATATTTGCTATGTTTACATAGTTTATTGACACTTAGTGGTTATTTACTGGTACTACTGCCTTAACAATGACACTCCCAGTGGATAAGATGAGGATAATTTATTAGCATTTAATACAGCTGTGTATTGACGTATACATTATTAATATCAAAAAATAGTCTGATAGAATGTTTTACATACCACACTTGACTTATTTTGGCATACAATCAACCATTTTGTAACCGAAGACTAGGCTATGTAAACCGTGAATGAACTTTTATTAGTAACTTTGGTAAGTTTCAGATTTAAATACATTAGATAACATCAATAGAGGGGGGACCCAAAAAATGCAGCCTGCCTAGTGTAGTCCATTTATTTAATCCGGCTCTGGCTGCTAGAGTTATGTGAAATCTTACTTCTGATTTTACTATATAAAACATAATAATAATCAACTTCTCCTCCATGTTTGCTCGGAGGTGTACGGAGCATCCTGTCCGCTCATTGGTCAGTGAATGAAACCTCCGTTGATTGGTCCTCGTCCGAGCGACAGCGATGAAAAGTTGAAAATATTTCAACTTTCTGGGATCGAGTCACTGGGTCGCCTGTGCACGACATGTGCACAAGCGCAAAATTTCACATGCACGTTTTTTTGCGTTTCCCTTAGTAGGAGGAAGACCCACGATTATCGCTTTGTCGCGCATGTCTCATTGAAACTGAATGGAGGAGAGGCGATGTCACCCCCTGTGCGTCGAGCCCATAAGTCTGATCAGGGAGCGACACCGTGACCACAAGCTATACAAAAATGACTGAAGGTACAACAGTTGAATAAAGGGTGTTGTATTATATGACAGCTGAGTGGTGTGTGAACACGTAGTCCAAAGATTGCACAAGATTTTTTTGAGACTGTGAGATTTTAAATTATTTGACCAAAAATTCTGTTATTTTTCAGAAT